TGAAGTCAAGATACATTTGAGAGTTGGACGTAGGATATTGGCTGAATAGGAGAGTAAATGAATGTGTCTCATCACACAAAATTATCTTTGATATAAACACTTCTTTCCAAAAACCAGAGGAGTCACTTGCTCAGGTTCCCAACGCTCATGCACAGGGAACTGTTCTTTAAACCCGGGACTGCCTGTCTCCAAAGCCAGCTCCACTGCAATGATTCTTACACCAGTCTACATGTGAGTTGGAATATCACTGTCCTTCCGTTGTTCATCGATTTGCTTAAGTGGGCCCAGTAACGTCTCCATTGGAGACTTTGTTGTTACTGTGTTTGGCATATCGAATACATCACGGGTAGCTTGCCAGGCTCTGCCGTGCGGGCGAGATACTCTCGGTAGCTTGCCGGGCTCTCCGAGAGGGGCGGAGGAATCGAACTCAGGTCGGCCATGTGGGCTGCGTGCAAAGCAAACGCCCTACCACTATGCTATCGCTCCAGCCCAGGACTGGAGGGTGCAAGGCAAACGCCCTACCGCTGTGATATCGCTCCAGGACTGCCTGTCTCCAAAGCCAGCTCCACTGCAATGATTCTTACACCAGTCTACATGTGAGTTGGGATATAGATAAGAAAAAAACACATGTGAAGAATTTGCAAAGTAAGAATGATCCAAATTTGATTAGTTATTGTGCGAAGTAGGGAAAAATTAAAGTGACTTCAAAGTGACAAGCTGGCGTGAGTAGGCACGAATTGGTACATTTAGCTATTGATAATCAAAACCCCAGGAAGAGCAGTTTGTTCAAAAAAGTGTCTTTGTACTCACTTTGAAGCCTGGAGGGCATGACTGAGTTTGATGACTCTTTGATTCTCAGCGAGTTTTGAGGTGCCCTACAGGTCACTCAGTGCCTGCTGTTGCTCTACGTCAGTGATCTTCCACTGCTGACCCATGGGTATACAAAACCTGAAAACCATTGCTTTGTCACAGGAAGTATAGCTGCCAGTCCAGGGTCTGTATGTAGATAGGGGCCAGTCTGTAGGTATAAAATGATTGAGGGACGTGGCTCTTGATGTTCCATCCACGACAGCCTCTATGGTCCCTCGTTAAGCAAAAGCTTCTGGCTTATGTCTCTCGTTAAAGCAAAAGCTTCCTGCATACATCTACTTGGCCACCCCTAGTTGGAAGCAAAACTGGGTAAGGCTAGTGCTTAGTCTTCACAGTCTCTCAGATCAAGATGGGCAAGAGAGCAGAGGCAGAAGGCTTAGATGGTGACTATTACTACTGTATCTACCATCTAAAGCAAGGGGAATAATTGGGCAAATGGACATAGGTCCCAGTAATGTAATCCTAACCCTGCTCCAGACACTGTGACTTGGTCCAGTTGAAGAATCTCTAAGTCAGTCTGTGTTGGTAAAACTGGAAAAGCATCTAGTTCAGAGTTGCTGTGTAAGTTAAAATATAGGTCATTCAAAGCACCTGGATGAATGGCGACCAGAACACTGTTCTATTCCTTCCTTAAACATTAATCCCAGGTGCTGAGAACACAGTCGGACAGCTCTCGGGCAGGTCTTGGGTCAAGAGACATAAGTATCTAACAAGATGTAACTATTAAATAAGCATTTAAGTCAAACAGTATGAAACTGCCTCTTATTTAGGGTAAGGTGGTCAAAGCGACATTGCAAAAGGTTCAGTCTGATAATTAGTGATGTAACAATACTTTCTGACAGCACATTAAGCATAAAAGCAGGTTGATGAGGTAAAGAAAGTGATGTGAGAAGTTGACTCCTATGTGTGATATGATAAGTGATATGAGGAGTTGACAGGGAAAGATGTTAAGGAAGGTTGTAAAAGATAAAAAAAAAATTAGGAAATTTCTCTTTTGGGGAAACAAAATATGGACTCAGTGAAAAAAAGAATATACCTTATATTTTGTGATTCCAATAGTCAGTCCTTCACGATATGATTAGCTGATGGTTGGTGTTTTTCCTCATCTCTAGGGGATTTTATCCTTTTTTCCCCCCATATGATTTTTTTATTAACTCAAAGTGACATATTTCTAATAATGGGTTTTTAGTTTAGTAATTAAAAACCACTTAAAATAAGAAGCAGGGGCTGTAGAGATTGAGGACACACAGGCCCTCCTGATATAGCTGTAAGAAGTATTTATGTTCCATAAAAAGTAACAAAATAGGAGACTAACACCCAAGAATAACCGAGATAAGTACCAGGAGGTTTACTCCATGGCTTGGAGGCCAGCCGCACATGCTAGGGGAAAAGGCAGCTTAGATAGAGAAGGGAGCACCAAATAAAGGGTGTTGGGAGGATCCTCCCAGAATGGGAGATGCATGCTGAGAGTAGACTATAGGCTGAACACGATTGCCACTCAATGCCTCTTTTGCAAACCACAGCACCCAAAAGGAAAGAGAGAACAAAAGGGAATGCCCTGCCACAGAGGCAGGGTGGGATTGGGGGGAGGGTGGGGCTGGGAGGGATACTGGGATCAGTGGTGGTGGAGAATGGGCACTGGTGGAGGGATGGGTATTCGATCATTGTATAACTGAAACCCAAGCACAAAAATTTGTAGTTTACAACTGTACCTCATGGTGTTTCACTAATAGAAATTAAAAAAATAATAATGTTGCTTTAAAAAAAAAGTGTTTATGTTCCAACTGATGCCTAAAGCATAGCGAGATGTTTTCTCTCAACAGGGCAACGCCTTCCAGGGGCTTCGGAAAGCAGACGTTGTAGCAAGAGAAAAGACCAAACTGTTGATCAAGTTCCAGGCACAAAGGATTTCGGCCTTAAAGAAAGAGATCGCTCAGTTACGTAGGAAAGGCGGCCTCATCCTTCCACCAATTCACGCTCCACCACAGAAGTAGAGGTAGCCATTGGCACTTCGACATTCTTTTCCTTTTCAAATCCAGCCATTTTCAAATCTAACATCCAAGTCAGCAAAGTTTTGCCTCTCACTAAATACCTAAAACCAGTAGGGTCAGGTAGTTTTAATTTTTCTGTTTGGCTATCTGAGCACTGACCAAAAAACCTAATACCTGTCAGTCATTGACTTGAACTATTTTAGATCTGGAACCAAATGGACTCAATACTAAATATTAGAAGGTTGCATCTCAAAAGTGCAAGAAAGAACATATAATGCATCCCATTTTTGGTAAACTTGCTTCGGGTTATCTGCAGTTCTCGGTCCCTTGGCCAGGGGAAAACCACCATTCAGCAATCCACGAGAAAACTTCCCTTTTTCCTGGGAAAGCCAACTTTGATGTTATTATGTATTCGGAGAACACAAGAAAAAAGACAATGTTTCCAATAAAATGTTAGAATAAGAAGTGCACTTTAGAATTTTGACATTAGACTTCAGGAAACACGGGCAAATAAAACTCCAAAGGAGCAGAAAGCAAGAAAGAACCTTCTTTCTGAATCAACCAGCTTTAGCAAATGCCTCTGCTCTGAGCGGAACCAGCAAAATGAGTTATGGAAAATGATCTATTCAAGAGGCTTTCCTCTGAAAGTTTGACACTATATTTCACATTCCCACAGTTCCCTGAGTCCTATTCAATTTTCTTTCGTGTTTCATTTGGTGCATTTGCTATTTTGGGTCCAGGCCAATAATGTAGTAGACTTCCATTACACAGAGACAGTGCTAGCACCACTAGACACACACACCACTTCTGCTCGTGCCTAACCCTGAAATCTCCTTGGAGCACGCATCTGATCCGGGAGTGAGCAGTCTCTGGAAATCAGAGCTCTACCCAACCGCGCAGGATCTCAACGAACAGAGCACTTTCAATCCAGCCCGCTGCAGATCCGGAGGAAGGAGACAGTTTCCTCTGAGGGCCGAAACCTCTCATCGTTAAGGCTCTTACTGGATGGGAGTGGGGGATGGGACCAATTTTCATATTACTTATGTGGTATTTATCAAAATCACTTCCAGAAATATTTTTGAATAGCGAAGATAAAGAGAAAAAAGAAACTGTGTTTAAATCAAATGGGTTCGAAGGCCCCTGGATTAGTGAAGTGAGTCCTGCTCAGCCCTTGGGTGTGACCAACAGGTTCTGAACGCCAGACATACCTGAAGTCACATTTTTCCCTTTTCACATGCTTCTCCTTTTTTCTTTTCCACTTACATGTTACTTGGAATATTTAATTTTATTTCACAAACTATGTGAAACAGTTTTAAATCATGCTTTGTCTTAGGAGTTCTTTTTACAGTTTAGTTGTTTAGCTGTTTTTTTTGTTTTGTTTTGTTTTGTTTTAGTTTAGTTGTTTTGATGGAAGAGCAGGCGCTGTGCTTCCTGCCAGCAGAGGGCGCACTCATCCTGATTGATTGTTACTTCCCAGGTCTCCAAAGAGTTGATTCAAACAGCTAATCGGGGTTATCCAGCAGCGGACCACAGTGTGGCATTTGATCTGTAACTCAACTTTGAATTTTAGGGATGGATTTTCGAGATTTCAGAAGTGTGTGTTGGTGCATTCATTGCAAGCTTCAGTTGCCATCTAGTTTCCCATAGGAAGGTCGATCTTGTGGTTGGATGATAGTAATAAATGTTGATTTAAACCAATTTGTGACTCAGCTTCTCTGGCAGTGCTGTGTAACTCCAGAAAGAAGGGCAGTGAGTTCTATTGGCTGGCACGTGTTCATGTGTACGCATGGCACTTCGAAAGGGTATTTTGGGAGAAGTTTGTGTCTTTCATGTATCTAGGGGAAGAGGGGGAGTTTCCTTCCTTTGTTATGACCAAAACGTCACCTCGGGTTCAGTCAGTAAGGTAAGGGTGGGAATCGGCTCCTCTTGCCTAGCGCCCACTCCGTCCTACTGGCAAAAGCACTAACTTTTGGGACACGGCCAACACAGAACACGTACAAAGACAGAGAGAAGCGTTACGTTTTCCATACCTCCTCTCTTAATGATCAGAAACCCTCACCCGGGGGTATTTTCTTCGACTCCCCCAACACTGAACCCTTCTGCGGTGAGCACTGACTCAGGCGTGACTAAGATGGAGACTAAACATTTATTTAGAAGTTACAGTGTTTGTTTTTACAGAGATATGTTGCCACAGATTATTGATTCTGGAAAGTTTGTTAATGCTGTAATAGTACTTATAATGCTTGTAGTATACATCGTAGTCTGTCCTCGCGGGCACCTTTGGAAAACGGTCCCTGCAGCACCAGACCCGCCATCTGCACGTGTGTCTCTGGCCTGGCACTTGTGGCCAGAGCTGCTCCCACGGGGTTGTGCCAACGGTGCCTCTGGGCCTCCTCCTTTGCTCGGCTTCCCGGGGGCCTCCTGCTGCCCCTCCCAGTCCATCCTCCCCTCTCCCAGCTGCCTCCGATTCTCCAAGGGCTTGTTCACCCTCCTGTACCCTCCATGGGTCAGACCCCTTCACTCTCTCCAGAATTATAATAGATATATTTATATAAAACACATATACATTTATTTACAAGTGCATAAATATATAAATATGGCTATTATAGAAAAATAAATACCGATTTTTCTGCTTCCTCTTTAAAATAACACTCTAGAGTCTTTCTGGGATACCCACTCCTGCCCTACATGGTGGGAGGCGGCGTTTCAAAGGACACACGCAGTGGGGGGCTCGGAGGGAGCCGCACCCCAAGGTCGTGGCCCACGTAGGTTCCCGTGGAGTGCTGGGGACACCAGTCGCCCCCCACGTGGCAGGAATCAGGACTGTCCACCTCCTCCACAGGCACCAGGCCCAGGCAGCACGGGGGCCCTGAGGAGCGAGAGAAGAGGGCAACGTTAGAATCTGGATGGGCAGGAGGCCTTCCCTCGGGGCTGTGTCACTCCTGTGTGGGACAGAAGGGTCTCGGGTCTTAGCTGGGACCACTCGCTAGCGTCGTCCCACATACTCTGTGAGGTGCTGCAAAACAGGAGGCCTGGCTGTGCCCAGAGGGCACGGGAGAGCCCTGCTTGGCTTCCTGCACTGAGGCTCTGCGAGGGTGATGTTTGACCAGGACACGCTCCCACACTCCGTCTCCACACAGCCAGGGAGTCCAGTTTAATGACTCCAGGTCCACGCGATGCCTCTCCTTTCCTTAGCAGCTCACCTCCCAGAGTCACAGTCCAGAACCTCTGTCTCAGCTGAACCTCCGCGACGTGCGGGTCCACCCCGCACCCTGACCCAGAATCCACTGGTTTCCAAGACACTGGCCCAAGAGAAGGCAGAGCGCGAGGCGGGGCGGGGTGCACGAGCCCCCTGGAGAGCGCTCTGTGGAAGCCCAGCGTTGGTGCTGATGTTTCCCAGAGCCTGGTTCCTGACTGGCTGATGCAACCTCAGTCCTTAATTAAGAGACAAGACCCAACAAAGCGAGGTATTTGGGAGTGACTAGAGAATGTCTCTCGGATTATGAGAACCTAAAGGGATTTGTGAATGACCTTGAAACAGAGAGACCAAAAGGGCATCCTTTTTCCTAGCCTTGTGGACACATGTTGGCGTAGGACTGGTGTGCAGTGACCCCCACAGGCCCGCTGGGCCCTCACCAGGGAAGGGGGCGGCCCCCTCCCCAAAGCTTCCACATCCTTTATGGAAACCCCGAGGGTTCAAGTCAGGCCTAGGCCTGGATTCCCACTTCCTGTCACCTCCAGCCTAGTCAGTGGCCTGCCCTGGGCACGCACCTGGGTGGAAAAGGGGGTCCCACGCAGCGTCCAGCCCCGAACTAGAGGGCATGTTCCTCCTGGCAGGGTGGCTGGTAGCAGCAGGCTGCTCCGGGGGGCGGTGGTCCTGGCAGGGCTGCAGCAGCTGGTGAGTGGAGCTCCCGGGCAGCGGGTACAAGCAAGAGTCTTCCTCTGCGCCAGGTTTGTGCCCCCTGCATGCACGAGAGCAGATGAGGCAGTGATAGGGAGCAGCCAGCTATTCCCCCCCCCCCTCCAGTGTCCTGCTGCTGGCCTGTCTAGGATGTCGGGGCTCAGCCGGACCTGTTCCGCTTTGGAATGTCAAGAAGCATCACGGCAAGGTTGAAGCCATAGTATAGCAGGGAGCGGGTTGGCCTTGCATGCGGCCAACCTGGGTTCCATTCTGGCATTGCATATGGTCCCCCAAGGACCCCCTCAGGAGTAATTCCTGAGCACAGAGCCAGGAGTAACCCGTGAGCATCATTGGATGTTGGCCCCAACCCCCATAAAAAGTGTCAGGGCACCATTTCTATGGACAATTCTAACCTGTGTCCATTGGATTTCAGACGAGCACTGAGCGTATGAGAGGACATGGGGTACAGAGTGTGGTGGCAGTGGGTCAAGTATCTGTGCCCCTCTGGCCGCCAAGGGAGGGACAGAGTTTGGGGGACTCGTCCATGGCATGGAGCAGAGCCAGCCTGAGGGCTGCAGACACCCATTAGCCTGAGAATCCCTGGACCAGGATGTCGGATGTGGGCCCCTGAGAAAAGCACCGCCAGTTGCCACCCAGGGACTGCTGACGAGGGATTCGAGGAGATAGAGAGGCGAGCTCTGGGCTGAGGACTGGCAGGAGGAAGCAAGGGGGCAGGGGTGGTGATGGTTACCTGGGGATCTGGTGACAGTGGGAGTCATAGCCTTTGCCAAGAACAGTCTGTCTCAGAAGGCTGTTGCTGTCATCCCGCTGAGGAATAGAAAAGGAAGGAATGAAGTAAGCACCAGGATTAGTTGTCTCTGCCCAAAGTAAGCCTGGGCCAGGAGTGAGGATTAGGAAAGGAGGACGGCCCCATTTCCTCCTCCACGCCCCCCCCCCCCGCCTCCCCCTGCGTGCATGCATGCACGCACATACACACATAACCCACCCCCTTGTTAGAGCCCCATTCCCTTCTTCTCCCAACCCCTCTTCCCCCTACACACACACACACACACACACACCCTTGCTAGGCTTGGTGCGCTCTCAGGACCACGTTACCTGCTGGAGCTCCCCGGGGCAGTGCTGCTGAGGCTTGATGCCGGGGTAGCCCCGGGCAGCTGCGGGACAGCCCCTGTTCGCATGCATCCCATTGGCACAGGTGCGTCCACTGGTGCCGCTGACGTAGGGCTGGCCACTGGCTCGGTGGCCTGGGAGACCGCCCAGTGGTACCATTGTGTACTGGCAGGAGGAGGTTAGCAAAGCACTTCGGGGAAACCCCAAGTCTGCTGTGTGTTCTGGAAGACCGGGTGGGGGGGTTGGGGGGAGAAGGTGGGGATAGTGAGGCCTGGGACTGCTTAGACAAGTCCCACGTGAATCCCCAAATATTTCCGATCACTGAGTGTCCCAATGAGGCAGGAAGGTGAAAAGGCCCAGGGATGAGAAACACTCCCACAGAAAATCTTCCTGGCGCTCATTTCTTCCTAACACTTTTTTTTTTTAGGGGGAACCACACCTTGTGGTACTCAGGCCTTTTTCTTGACCCAGCACTCTGAGCTCGCTCCTGGCAGGGCTTGGGGGACCATATAGAATGCTCGGGATCTAACCTGGGTCTACTGCATGCAACAAGACAGGTGCCCTCCTTGCTGTGCTCTCTCCGCCCCATCCCCACCTTCCAGTTAGACTGATCTTTGAAAAAAAACATTGGCAGGGACAAGGCTGAGGAAATGGAGTGGAAAAAAAATTGGAGACAAGGTGGCAGGGGATGGGAAGGAATAATATTGAGATGTGCAAGGTGATCAGAGGTGTGGTCACTTGAAATCAGCAGAGGGCAATCAGTTTAGCCACGACTGGGGTTAAGTCCAAGGCCAGCCGAGAGACCAGAGAAGTTTAAAGCATGAACTTGTGCTTTAAAGCAGCTTCAGGTGTCAAAAATGGCTGGAGCCAGTCAACTGTTGAGCTCCCTGAAACGTGGAGAAGACAACACAGAGGACTTCTCCATCCGCCTGGGTCTACTCGGAATCTCTGAGTCTCTTTCAACCCCTGGCAATCCCCAGGAGCATGAGTTCTCAGGAATGTGAAGGGGACATGGCCTGTTAGGGGCCCGGTGACCCGCATCTCCTCCCGGGGTCCCCACTCCACCCAGCTGGGCTGCTCACTTACTCTGCTTAGACCAGGCCCTCCACAGGCAGAAGGGGATGAAGGCAACGATGATGAGGACGATGGAGCCCAGGACGACCCCAACAATCAGATAGGGCAGGTCGCTGGAGCGGGCCACCATGGCCCCGGGACCCACCGGACGCTCCATGGTTTCAGGGGGTGGTGGCTGAGGCGGCACCAGAGTTGGGGGTGGGAGCCGACCAGGCTGGCCAGAAAACTTCCGAGCTGGAATTATGGAGAAAACTCACTGCAGCATCTATTTCTTTGATGTTTCCTTCACAATAAATTGTGTGTGTGTGTGTGTGTGTGTGTGTGTGTGTGATTTCATAGATATGGCGAGAAAGACTTTGCAGTGAGGCATGAAATTTAGCAGTGAATGTGAAATTGGGTACCACAGCAAAGTGAACCTTCCATTTTCACAATATAACCTGAGATATTGGTGAGCCAAGTATAAGAATCAGTCTGAGAATTCTGGTCAGGACTAGTCAGGAGTTTTCTAAACAAATAGGTGGTGAACTTTGGGAAGAAAATATATACAAATACATAGAAATGGGGAGGAATCTACCCAGGAAGCTGCTATTTCTGGACATGATTCAGAGATGTGAAGTACACGTAAGCTATGACTATTACTGCTGCTGCTGCTGCTACTATTACTACTGGAGCAGGGGAACAGGACAGATGTTTGGAGCGACCCTGTCCCCCCAGGACAAACATACTCATGAGACACCACTTCAAAGAACACAAACATCCTCTCTGGCCTTTGCTGTCATCCATGAATCTGACATTGTCACCTGCTGCCACAACCCCACTCCCTGCCTCCGCTTCCCATCACCTCGAGAAGGCAGACCCTTTGTGCTCTTGTCTGCCTTCTCCCAGGTCTCCCCCAGGTCCCCCTGAGTCCACGTGCACTCTCTGTGTCACATTCTCTGTCCCCGTGAATTCAACGTACAACATTATGACTGTCAGTCCATAGCTGACCTCAAGCCTGCCCGGCAGGAGCCTGGGAGGGCGGTTACAGGGACCCTGGCATCTCAAGGTCTTAGATGGTTTGACTCAGCCAGTCTGCAGGTGGTTTCTCCATATTCCTAACATAAGGAATCTCGTTCCCTGCTGGGTCTCTCCACTTCGACCCAGGGCTGCATGGCCTGTGCATGACTAAAGCATGATGCTCAGGGCTTGACTCCTAGCCCTGCCATGTACCTACGGCCCCTGGTTCTACCCTCCCTGCTTCAGGGAGACTAAAACCCACCCTCCTCCTCTCTGCTTGACTCCCCAACCCCTCAGCCTACTCTTAAGCAGTCACCAGTGACCCTTCTTCATAAAACAACGATGGCCCTTCTCTACCTCTTAGGGCCCTCCCTGGCCTGCACACTCCATGTCCCTGGTCTCTTCCCTGAGAGCCACTGAGAGCAGGTGGGGAATGTCTGGTCATATAAAGCCTGTGGGATCAAATGGTACACAATGGGACAGACACAGGTGTTGTTTGTCGGCTGCACACCGTCTACCTGTTTTGTAGAGCTCGCCAATGATGTTATAGACATCCAAATGGCTCTTGGCACAGGAAAGGTGACCCTCCACCCTGCCCCCCCTCCAGAGCCACTTCCTATTCTGAAGCCTTTTGCAGCCTTGGCGAAAGTCTCGATTTCTTATCCTCTGATACATGTTTTAGGGCTGTGCATATACCTGCCACTCACTGCACTCTGTGTGACAGAAGAGGGCAGGAAGTGCAGAGCGGAGGCGGTGAGTCATATTTGGCAAATGGCTGAAAACTGCTGAAACTATTGCTGCCAATGACAGGAAAACGTTTCCCCACCACGTCTCCATTCCTATTCCTCTGTGACCTCCTCCTGACTCTAGTCTTTGAGTATTTGCAAAATGAAAAGAACAGTGATCGTGGCACTAGACCAACAGACAAATAATAACTTATGTGAATCTGTTTAACATGTTTTAGGGGAGAGAGTCTGGTTTGATACTTAGATGAAACTGGTGCAAAGCACACGTTACCACGAGTGGGTGGCAACACAATTTCCTTGTGCTCAGTTTCTTTGCAGTCTCGCGGGCTGCTGTTAAATGAACCAGCCAGTGTAAGTATCAGGTATTATCACAGGGATCAAGTGTTTATAGCAAATTTCCTGCCGAAGAATGGGTTTGTTCCTAAGCACCCCAAAGTCCTTAATGATGGGAGTCATTCATCTTTATAGATGAGGCACAGACAAGTGAATGAAAGGGTTACACATGACAAAGTTTTCCTCACTTGGAAAATACGAGATATCCTGGGGGAGGAAGCCACACACAGAAAAGCAACTTGGCTCATGTAGACTGGAAATAGCAGGAAGAGAGCAGAGAGCCCCAAGAGACTGACCTTTGGTTTCACAGATCATCACGTTGCTGAATTCGCTCTCCCCTCCTTCATTGAAGCACTGCATTTTAATGTCGTAGGAGGTCTCTGGCTGCAAGTGGCTGATGGAGTGCCAATATCTATCTCCTGAGAGAGAGGGAGGAAGAGTGTGGCATGGAGGAGTATGTATCTGGCATGCCTGCCCCTCACATCATAGTCAGTCAGGCGTTTTGTGTGTGTGTGTGTGTGTGTGTGTGTGTGTGTGTGTGTGTGTGTATGTGCTGGTGCCATGAACAGGCATGGGCCAGGGTTAGGAAACACAGGAGCAATTTTCTGGATACCCTCCCCCAACTCCTGTTGTTCCTTCACCATGAGCTGAAGTGCTTGCATGGGCTTATGAACTGACAGCCCCAAGGGTGTTGTGATTGAGTGAATGATGCTGGACACACAGGGTCAGCATCGACTGCCCTCTCGCCAGTATGGGAAACTGTCCACACACAAGTGATCTCACCTTCCACCATGTCTTTCTTGTAGTCGCTATCATTGTCACTGTCTGTCGGTCGATAGTAGATATAAAAACCGTGGATGGGAGTGTTGTTGTTGCTTGCTGGAATATACTGCAAGGAATGGAGGAAAAACGAGTTGACACTGGAGCAAAGAAATCGTGTAAACAGAAACAGGGCTGCATGGAAATTTTACCCCGCCAAGAGTTTACAACTCACTGAAGGGCTGTAACTGTGGTTTAGTAGTAGAGAAACATGCCTCACAAATGAGGCCCTGAGTTCATGCCAAAAAAAAAAAAATAATAAGCTTATGTTACAATTCTCAAAAATCATAACCCAAACCTGGACTCAACCTAAATGCACCAAAAACGGTTAGCTAAGGAAGCTGTGAAATACTACTCTGGAAATGGAATATTACACTATAATTTTAAAAATATGAAACTGTGTCTTTGGGGACAAAATGGATGGATCCTGAGATGGTTATGCTACATGAAATAAGGAAGTGAACAAGTTATCTGTAGGTCCCACTCATATGTGGACTTTGATTTACTAAAGCAAATGATCTGGCAAAAAGACAACAAAACTAACTCCTAGAATCAGTGTCAACTATGGTGGTTGCTAGAGAAAAAGGGGATGGGGGGTAGGAGGGTGCGGAGGGGTCTTTTTGGTGGTACATGGTAGGTTCTGGGGCCCAAATGGTGGGTGACAATTTCACACACAGAGAAGCTTAATGCCTGACATTCCATAATGCAAACCAATGATGTCAATGTAAAAATACAAATGAACAAAATAAAATTCACTGGGGGTCCCTGGCAGAAATTTCAGATGGTATCTCTGTAGAGATTACTCACTAGAGTACCTCGCTCAGATGCTGGAGATTACTCGCTAGAGAACCTAGCTCAGATGCTATAGAGATTACTCACTAGAGTACCTATCTCAGATGCTGTAGAGATTACTCGCTAGAGTACCTACCTCAAATGCTGTAGAGATTACTCGCTAGAGTCTCTAGCTCAAATGTTGTAGAGACTGCAAACCAGATTATCTAGCTCAGATGCTATAGAGATTACTCGCTAGAGTACCTAGCTCTGATGCTGCAGAGGTTGCCCACTAGAGTACCTAGCTCATATGCTTGTCGAGATTACTCACTAGAGTATCTAGCTCAGATGCTGTAGAGATTACGCGCTAGAGTATCTAGCTCAGAGGCACCACATTTCTGAGGACAAGAAACCAACCTACCACTTCTCCAAAGACAGTCCTCTGAAAGCCCTGGGCTAATATGAGGGTGAGTTTCTCTGGTCCCAACTTTGGGTACACAGGAGGCGTGGCGTTTACTGGGATCGTCTGTTTTTGAAGGGCAACGAGGCAGAGGAATGACTGGCTCCTGCCCTGGCTCCCCCCAGGACTCTCCAGAACAGCTTACCATCCACTTGAGCATGATGGTGGTGTCATTGATGGCATCAGTGAAGGTGATGTAAGGGCCTGCGACCGGCCTCTCATACACTCGGCTGCTGTAGCCCGACACCACGTACGGACGGGAGGGCGCACTGGGTTCACTCTCCCCCAGCATGTTCAGAGCCCGGACCCGGAACTTGTAGGAGGTGCCTGGTGAGAGACACTTCCTGAACCCCTGAGTCAGGAAACACGCAATTCACCGCCCCCCTCAACGTCCACTCAGATAGCCCCAGACCTCGAGGGATCTTCCGGACTGCCCTCCCCTAAAGTCAAGTCTCCAGAGAACTCACAACTCCCACCCACCTCTGAAAGGAGCCTCCCAGGACCTCCGAGGGAGTAAAGGAAGGAGGAAGAGCTGGGGGCACCAAGGCACCCAGAACACGGCCCTGAGCATGACGGCAGCTCCGTGAGGAGCGAGGAGTCTACAGAGCACCCACTGCCCTCTGTGGGGCCGCCAGAGGACCCTACCTTTTTCCAGACCCGTGATCTCCACAGAAAGCAGCGAAGGCGGGATGGCACTGGTGGCCAGAATCCAGTCTCCCACTTTCTTCAGCTTCTTGTACTCTACACGGAAGGACTGGATGGGGAAGCCGCCGTTGCCCCGGGGAATCCAGGTCACGTAGACTGATGTCTCGGAGGCCATGGAGATGGTGGGCCTGTCTGGAGCTTCTGGGGCTAAAGGGAGGCAGTGGGGGGACGGGGATAGGGGGACACAATAAGACCACAGCCAGGTGGTCACCAGGCCTGCCCTGTTCCGAGGGGCCGCTCCTCCCATGGTCCTTTCACCTTTGTGGCTGTTTCCCCCCGGGTCACTGTCCTGAAGGGGAGGAGTTTTTGAGAGTAGCCCTGACTATTCCACCCCTGAGGTACCAGAGTGTGGTGGCCTGCCCTGCACGACTCTCTCCACCCCTAGGGTCAGTCAGCCCAGGGTTGGACTCTATAGTGTTTCGCTTCAATATTCCTGAATGACGCAGACTCTCCTGGAGCGATGCAGAATCTCCTGACCCCGCGCCAGGCTGTCTTCACCGGGGCCCCTCGGAGGGGGGCGGGTTAAGTCTCCCTCCCTGCCCCAAGCAGAACCCCGGCAGCCAAAAACCTCCAGAACCCAGCCAAAGCCATGCTCAAGGCCACTCTCCACACGCTCGGAGGAGCCTCACGCATGAAGGAAGTGGCAGAGGAACCCAGGTGTGCGGGACCCAGGGCTGAGATCTCCAGGCCCGCTTGGATCGAAACTGGGCCTCCTCCACCTAGACCCCCCGTTTTCCAGTTGCTAGGCAGTTAACACCCACAAACTGCCCCCGGGGCCATGCAATCCCATCAACGGCCAAAATCCAGAGACTATAATAAAACAAACTCTCCCTCTCGGAGAGCCCGGCAAGCTACTGAAGAGTATCCTACCCACATGGCAGAGACTGGCAAGCTCCCCGTGGCGTATTCAATATGCCAAAAACAGTAACAATATCGGGCCTCATTCCCCTGGCCCTGAAAGAGCCCCCAGTATGCCACTGGGCTACGCTAGCACGGGACAGGGAAGAATGGGGATATTACTGGTGCCCGCTCAAGCAAATCGATGAACAACGGGATGACAAGTGATTCAAGTGATACAAGTGATCCCTGAACTGCATCTCCTCATGGCGGGTCATCAGGGGAGATGGCAAGAGAACATCCAAGAATCCAGGTGCTACACACCCAGCCTCCCCGGACCCACACGCAGTGAGGAAGCTGGAGGCAGTGGCCCTGGTTGGGTGTGGGTGCTGGCCCCCCTGGAGGCACGCAGTGGGGGCTTACGGGAGAGGCGTCCGTGCTCCGGCTGGCTGTTGCTCTGCGGGCCGGTGCCGGGGTCGTCCCTCTGAATCTGCTGCTCCTTGCTGGCCAGGATTTCGGGTTTGGGTCGCCGTCCTGCACGGACATGGGTTACGAGAGCAGAGCAGGATGTGGGTGTTTGATCTCTAAGCCTGCACCCAGCCAAGGGTTGGGTGTGGGGGGGGCCAGTCGGCAGTGCAGTCTGACTCCCGGGACTGGCGGAACAGCGTGTGCAATCCCTGCAGCAGTGTGTGTGTGGGGGGAGGGAGGTCAGAGGGGTGCAGAGCCGCCGGCTAGTGGTGGCTCTCCCAGCAGAGAGGGGAACATGGCCTGGGCACAGAAGCCAATGGAAAGGAAAGTGATTTCAAGGTGGGGGGTGGGGGATGGGGAGGGCTGGGAGGATCTCCACGAGCGCACGGAAACCCCAAGTGGGGGCCAAGGTCTGAGCCCCCACCTGTCCGGAAGGTGACCATGGCTGTCTGGCCTTCGCCTGCGCAGTTGTAAGCGGCCATTTCCACTTCGTACAAGCTCCCAGGGTCGAGTCTGGTGAGGGTCAGCCGGTGCTGGCCGGCAGGAATGCCAGAGACGGTCCAGTCTTCAGAGGAGTTGGTGACCTGCTGGAGAAGGGGCTGGCATGAGGACGGGCCTGAGATGGGAGCCCCCAGAGGGCTGCAGTGGGCGAGGAGAACAGAATGAGGTCACGTGGGGCGAGGGGTCAGGCCGGGCAGGGGAGGGAGAGCACTTGGAGCATGGATCCTGCCACCCTGCGGCCAGCTGGCTTTGCTGGGACAGGAAATCAGGCTTCTGGACCCACCAAATGGTCCCCAGAGGAAATTCCAGGGTAGGGGGGCAGTGGGGGGCTCAATGGCCTGAGTTGGCTGCTGAGAGTTTCTCCCAAGACCACTCTGCATATTCCCTCAAATCTCTACACTGTACACACACTCTTGCCTGGGCTCTGTTTAAACCAAACACTTCTTTTCTTTCTTTTCTTTCCTTCCCTTCCCTTCCCCTTCCTTCCTTCCTTCCTTCCTTCCTTCCTTCCTTCCTTCCTTCCTTCCTTCCACCAAATCGAGATACAGTTACAAGCCTGGGCTCTGTTTAAACCAAACACTTCTTTTCTTTCCTTCCTTCCCTTCCTTCCTTCCTTCCTTCCTTCCTTCCTTCCTTCCTTCCTTCCTTCCTTCCACCAAATCGAGATACAGTTACAAGCCTGGGCTCTGTTTAAACCAAACACTTCTTTTCTTTCTTTTCTTTCCTTCCCTTCTCCTTCCTTCCTTCCTTCCTTCCTTCCTTCCTTCCTTCCTTCCTTCCTTCCACCAAATCGAGATACAGTTACAAGCCTGGGCTCTGTTTAAACCAAACACTTCTTTTCTTTCTTTTCTTTCCTTCCCTTCCCCTTCCTTCCTTCCTTCCTTCCTTCCTTCCTTCCTTCCTTCCTTCCTTCCTCCCTTCCTTCCTTCCTTCCTTCCACCAAAGCGAGATACAGTTACAAGCTTTCATGCTTAAGTTACAATCATACAATGATCCAACACCCGTCCCTCCACCAGTGCACATTTCCCACCACCAATGTTCCCATATAACCTCCCCATTCCCACCCTCCCTCTGCTTCTGTGACAGACACTTTCCCCCATACGCTCTCTCTACTTTTGGGAATTAGGATTTGCAATACAGATACTGAGAGGTTATCATGTTTGGTCCTTTATTGACTCTCAGCACACATCTCCCATCCCGAAAGATTCCTTCTACCACCACTGTCTTAGGGGTCCCTTCTCTATTCCAGCGGCCTTCTCCCCCAACTCATGAGACAAGTTTCCAACTCTGGAGCAATATTCCTGGCCCTTGACTAAACACTTCTTTTCAATCCAGTCTAACGAGATGCGGAGGGGAATGGCAACCACAGTGGGTTCCCAGGAGGATGGGAGGACGGGAGACATCTCCAGGCAGGGAGTGGGAAACTTTCTCTGAACAGGTGTTCACATGTTTCTGCTCCACATATGAGCAAAGTAAGGCCCCAGGAGGTGAGTGAGTCATTTGCCGGAGGTCACACCACAGGCAAGTGAAAATGCACGACTTGGTTCCAGAGAGGGTAGAAGAGTAAACAAGAGGCGGGCAGACTGGAAGCCCAGGGGGGTTTGGGCGCCCTTTGGGTCTCTTCCCGGCTCCACCAGGAAGTTCCTTTAACTCTGAAGAGAAGCAAGAATTTCAGAGCACACTTCAAATCAGCATGGAACGCAGCCCCAAGCAGCCCCTAGCACTCTGGACCGGGCTCCTCCCCAGCTCCACATCTTCAGCTCAAGTTTTGTGCCACTTCTACTCTTTTGGGGGCTTTTGTTCTGAGTCCTCGCTTAAAGAACTTAAAAATTGTGTAACACGGTTAAATGCCTTGGGGTGTGCCACTAAAGGAACAAAATGAAGGGGCTTGCAGGTTCCCCACCAGACAATGCCCAGAAGTTGCTTTGTCTCTGCTCCCCGACCGCACACGCCGTCTTTTAGGACCGAACAGAAGCTGCAACTGCCACATGTGGATGGCTCACACTTCCGCTCCTGTGGGCCCCTGAGCTCCGGTTCGCCTGAGCCACGCACAGCTGGGAGGGAAAACGCTTCTCCCCAAGCAGAAGATTCCAGCCGAGAACAAAACCTACTATTCAAGGGACAGGGATGGTCCACGCTCATTAGTGTCAGCCTTCCAGGATTTCTTCCAAGGGGAGAAGTTTTTACAAACTGCGAATCCCCAGCGGTGCAGGGAAACCCAAACACAGTAGCCTAGGCTTTGCAGATGCACGAGGAAATGAGACCGACATCCCACGTGTGAAAAAGTGAAACTGGGATGGCAGATTCCCAGCCTCTGGCAAGAATGTGTGTGAAAAAAAATCTCAACCCAAATACTGCTTTTTGTTATCAAAGTCCTTTGTGTGTGTGTGTGTGTGTGTGTGTGTTTATGTGTTAGTCTTTTTTTTTTAATTTTTATTAGCGAAACACCATGAGGTACAGTTGTAAACTTTTTTTTAAGAGACGCGCTAGTCTCTCGAGAAGGGAGCTGCTTTTGAGACTGAATTTCTGCCCTGGCAGTGTCCAGGGGCCAGCTCCAAGTGAGGGGCTGACATCTCCTACTTTTCCAACGCCCCCTCTCTTTCCGGCCTGCCCTGCACTGCCCTCACGCTTCCACTGGGTTCCAGAATACGAACTGGATGGTGATTAGTCACTGTCACACACACACCGAGGGGCTGAGTGCAGCCCCGGGCTGGCATTTCCGGATCACCATGCATGGCCTTTGCCAGCCTGTCTCTTGCTGGGGCAGTTTCACGACCACCTATTGGCCTGAAAAATATTATTCTTGCTCTCCTGCTGACTCTTGTCTCCTGGGGACCATGAGTATTTGGCCTGACCCGATCTCTGTCTACAACCCGCAGACAGAGGTGTCCAGTTACGTGGGGAAATAAGAACTGGGGCCAGCCGTGTCCCATAGCCTGGGCTGAACAATGCCACTTTCTATTAGGAACTCATTCTCCACGCCCGGCCGCCCTATTGTGGCCAACTCTGGGAAGGCCACCAGGTGGAGGGACAAGGAGAAGCTGCTCCCCCAGCCCCTCCCGAGGTCCCGCCTAGGAGGCAACCTAGGCCTTAGGTGTCTCTCTTACCACCCAGGATCTCTGCAAATTTGTGTGGACCGGAGATCTCCTGAGTGAGGAGCATGTCAACGGGGGGTAGAGAACAGAATGTGATGGGCAGTGAGGCTTAGGGGGATCCAGCCTGTGTCTCAGGCTGGGTTTCAGGCTCTGCTTTGGAAGGAAGAGAGTCCAAGACTTCCCATTCCACTGCCATACAGTTTTTTAGTCGGTGGACAGTAACACTCGGCTGGGTTCAGGGTTTGCTCTGTGCTCAGGGACTGATCCTGCTGGGGCCCAGGGGACAATATATAGTTCTGGGAAAAGCCATACCCCATTAAATTCACCTACCTAGTGTACCCCAGCACTTTCATAAGTAAAAAATAATAAAGAGGCATCATAAAGTCAAGCATTTATAACCATATTACTTATCAAAATAGAGGGGTTTGTTCTTTTTTGTTTGTTTGTTGGGGGGGGGTCACCCTTGGCAGTGCTCAGGGCTCACTCCTGGCTCTCTGCGCAGGGGTCACTCTTGGCGAGCTGGGGTCCCGGAGGTCAAACTGAAGTCAGCTGCATGCAAGGCAAAGGCCCCACTACTACTGCTCAGGCCCCCATCAAATTATTGTTTTTTTAAAATCTAGTTAAGAACGACGACATTCTCCTGTCTGTTGACTTCAGAAAGAGAACAGCAAGCACATGGGCAGAAGAGGGGATGTACAGGCCTTTCCTTACAGGTGAGGACCCCTTTCTTCCCTGTGCGATGGCCGCAGGTGAGTGCTTTCACTTAGAGCAGCAGGGACAGCTCAGCCATGTCCCATGTCGCACCAGAGCCAGACACATGTACCTGGACAGACTTCCCTCTGTCCGGGAGGAGGAGCTGAGGCCTGAACAACGCACCCCGTTTTTAGCTCAAATGCCTGCTGGCCAAAACCCGAAAGTGGACGAATCCCGAGAACTGAAAGGCTTTTTCATACGCCCTCAGAGCCAACACTTGTTCACAGGTATTTGCTTTTCTGGCCATAGAGTGTGCCCGCCGGGCCAGAGTTCCTGCAGAGAGGGACCCACAGAGCCGATTGTGGTCAAAAAACAAGACCAAACAAACAGCAGCAACAAATGTCAGAAGGAAGAGGGGAGGTGGGTGCGCTCTCCTCAGGAATGAGAAGCCAGAAGCACTAGCCTCAGGAAAATGAGTGTGGAACGGCAGCACTTGGTACAACAGCCAGGAAGTGGAAACAACATAAGTGCCCAACGGCAGATGAACAGATAAGCGTGTACCGTAGATACACACTGAAACACTGCGTGGCTATAAGAAACCAGATAAGATCGTGAAGACCACTGCAACCTGGATGGAATTGAGGGTATCACATTAAGCCAGAGAGAGAAGGACAAATACCAGAGGTTCTCACTTATCCGTGGTATAGAGAACAAGGCAATGGAAGTTATCAACTGATGGCAACCCCCCTGGCCCTGGATCAGAGAAATAAGGAAGCCAGGGAAGGAGAAGGGAAGTCAGGGAGGCTCAGAGGAGGCTGGCGGTAGTATAAGGACAGAGACAAATGGTCGGAGACCTCTGGGTGGTTCAGCGGTGAGGTAACTACATACATCAAAACCCAAAAAGCCAAAAGCACTGTAAACATGTGATCCAAACTACAATAATGAAAAAGAAGAGCAAATGAGGGCAGAGAGCCCCCACAGAGGTGGCTGTGTGGAGGGAGGGCCCGTACCTTGCGATGCTTCACCACGTAGTAGAGGATGGGCGCCCAACTTCCCCCTTCGTGCCGGGGCCGCCATACCAGCTCATACGAGTCTGTCTTGGAGGTGCGGGGCGAGCTGAGGATGATGGGGGCCTCAGCAGGAGCTACCGGCCCCTTCTCTCCAAGGCACCGCGTGGATGCCGGCTGCGCCGACGGTGGGGGTCTCGGGAGGCCCTTCAGCAGCTGGTCAGGACTTGCAGGTCCGGCGGGCGTCATGGGAGAGGTGGCAGTGTCCAGCTTGGCCTCCCGCCCGGGCCTCAGGGTCATGCCTGAGCAGGAAAACAGAAGGGCAGGAAGAGAGCGTCAGTCCCCTCAGGTCACCGAGCCAGTGCCCCCAGAAGAAAAATGAGGGCGACGGGCGGAGGCAGAAAGAGGTCCCGTCCAGGAGCTGTGAGGGGCAGTGAGCTGCTGGACGCACAGGCCAGTTCTGTGAAGAGCACACCAGCCCTGCCATGCCGAGGCCGGCCTCTCTGGCCCCTCATTCTCCGAGGTTCGCACATGCCTCTCAGGTGCAAATTGTTTGCTCCCGAAGTGTGACGACCCAGCCACTTGTCTCGTGGGCAGGCTGTGGGGATGTTCCTGAAGAGCGCAGCCAACCACGGCCCAGGGTGTGCAGGGCCCAAATCTGTGAGAGGGGATAGTCCACTGGAAGCTGCCACAGCCCCTGTCTTCACTGTCCTCTTTCTAACAAAGTGCTGGTAGGCTCAGTGCTCTCTCCCCCCAGGAAAGGCATGCCCAGAGGCAGGGTCTCGGGGGGGGGGGGGTCTCTGCCTTCTCCTCACTCCCAAACCCCATGCAGAGCATGCAGTCACTGATCAATTGGGTTATAGACGCCAAGTGAAGTGGACCAAGCTGATGACAGACCTGCTTTGCTTTACTTATTTTTTTTTGTGGGGGGCAGTTCCCTAGCAGTGCTCGGGGGACATCAGGGCTGTCCCTGCAACAATCGGCCCAGCTTCATGTGTTTGATGCTTCTGTGTTCATGTGCAGTGATGGAAAACTGCTCTGAATGAGAACTGCTCAGGGTGGCAAAGAGGGTTTGGGGGCCACCAGGACTGAACACCAGCTGTGTGTCGGGGGTCATGAGATGCCAGGGATTGGATCTGGGGGCTATCACAGCAAGGCATAAACTCTCGCCTTTTGAATGAGCTCCCTGACCCCTAGACTTACTTTTTATTTTCTTCTGCTTTCTTTGTTTCTCGGCCGCACCCAGAGATGCTCAGGAATTAGTCCTAGTGGTCATATGGAGCCATATAGGGCCATATAGAGCGCTGGGCATCGAACCTGGGTGGACAGAGCAATCACCCTACCCACAGCACCCTCTCTCTAGTCTTAATTTTTTCTTTATGTTAGAACACTGATTAAGTTCACAGAATTAAGTTCACAGAATCCCAGGAACCTACTGATTATACCAATTAAAAATGATTTTTTTTTTGGTTTATTTTGGTGTCACACACTGAGCAGTGCTCAGGGCTTACCCTGGCTCTGCACTCAGGGATCACTCCTGGCAAGGCTTGGGGACCATTTGGGGTGCCAGGGATCAAACCCAAGTTAACTGCATGCAAGGCAAGTGCCTCTCCCACTGTACTATCACTCAGGTCCCAGGAAGGATTTTTTTTTTTTAAGATACAGGTTAAATAGGTCCCTTTTATTAATAAGAACGTGCACTTCCACTTTCTTTTAGGAAGTAAACATAAACTGGAACTTAGTGGAAGAGTTTTACAGGTTGGGATTCTAAGGGGGGGGGTTAGTCTTTTTTTTTTTCTTTTTGGGTCACACCCAGCATTGCGCGGATTGCTCCTGGCTCATGCACTCAGGAATTACTTCTGGGGACGCTCAGGGGACCATATAGGATGCTGGGAATCGAACCCAGGTCGGCCACATGCAAGGCGAATGCCCTCCCCGCTGTGCTATTGCTCCAGCCTCTAAGTGGGATTAGTCTTGCATGAAGCCTCAAGCCCTCCCGAGGCCTTGGGGGCTGCACTCACCTGGCCTGACGGTCCTCAGATGGACCACAGCCTGGGCACTCCCGACTTCATTCTCAGCCATGCACTGGTAGACGCCTTCGTCCTGGGGCCCCACACCGACCACCCGCAGGGCTCTCCTTGACAGCCGCAGGCGCTGGCTGGGGGCCAGGGGCACAGCATTCCTCAGCCACAGGACAGCAGGGGGTGGGTTCCCTCGCACCTCACACATCAGCTTGGCGCTCTGGCCCCACGGGATGACCAACTGGGACAGCTCCACGGTGACCTCGGGGGGCTCTGTGGGGAGAGCAGAGGGAGTCAGAGAGGCCCTGAGCCTTCCCAGCCAGGCCATCTGGCTATGGAGGGGGACCACAGCCAGGAACAGTGCCTTCTGTCCATGGGGCTGCCGAGGAGAGGAGGGCTGATCCCCTCCCTCAGTCACAGGACCAGGGACTGGACATCCACAAGCCTGAGAGGTTCAGGCTGTCCCACTCCGAGGTCTGAAAGTCACAAGGCACCAGCCCCATCTAAGCCTCGGGCTGTGCGTTTCTGGAAAAAGCACCAACCAATAAGCAGGGCAAGGAGCGCCGGGGAGAAGCTCACCGAACACCTGGACGTTGTAGAGGATGACGGCGGCTCCCGGCTCTCCCACGCCGTTGTCGGCCATGCAGCGGTAGGTACCCGAGTCCTCCTCGCTGGTGGCGTCGATGAGGAGGTTGCTCAGCAGGAAACGTGTCTTGTTGTAGCCAACCATGCTGGCCCCGTCCTTGGCCCAGGTCACCCGGGGTGGGGGGATCCCACTGGCCACACACTCCAGGATGAGACTCTGGCCTTTGGTGACGATAATGGTCTGGGCCTCGGGTGGGTAGATGATGCGTGCGGCCTCGGCAGTGGAGCCTGGAAGGGTCGAGAGGGCAAGGACAGCAGGTGGCACCAGGACTTTCTGTCACGGCCTCCTCTGCCCGGCCTCGAGTGCTGGCTCAAGATGGCCCTTGGACGGGAGGGATTTGGAATCAAACTGTCCTGGAGGAGCTTACAACCTCAACAAAGTGGGACAAGTGACTTAATCCCCCTGGGTCCTGCCTTCCCGATGGGCACCAGAGACCTTGTGTAGAGACGGAAAGAAGAGGGCAGAGGAGCAGAAGGGAGGGCAAGCATGACTGGCAACACAGGTGCGGGCAGCGCCATGGGGGCACCAGACCAGGATGCGGTGTGCGCAGAGAGACCCTTAAAGTTGCTGGTGATTTTCCCGGCTTGTTCAGTAGGTCTAGAGACAAGGGACCAGTCTGTGGCTCCCAAGCCCCAGCCATGGGCCTCTGTGCAAGAGATCCCTTGCAAAGGAACCCACCCCTGAGGGCAACACAGTGAAGGAGGAAGGGGTGCCTCCAAGGGAGGTCCCTTGGGCCGAGCCTCCTCCGTGCTCCTCTTCTGGGAGCTCAGATCCAGCACACATTTTTTTTTTCATTTTGCTTTTTGGGTCATACCCAACGATGCTCAGGTGTTACTCCTGGCTCTGCACTCAGGAATTACTCCTAGCGGTGCTTGAGGGACCATATGGGATGCTGGGAATTGAACCCGGGTCGGCCGCGTGCAAGGCAAATGCCCTACCCACTGTGCTATCACTCCAGTCCCCAGGGAGCTCAGATCCAGAGCTGGCCCCAGAGTCCCCCCATCCCTTGCAGCCGGGTACCCCCCGCTCCTTACGGCGCACTCGCAGCCGATCGCTGGAGCCCGAAGTTTTTACTTCCTGGGTCACTGGGTTGTAGGCAGCACACTTGTACATCCCCTCGTCCTCCTGGCTGGCGTTCACGATTTGAAGATTCCCTGATGGCATGATCAAGTAGTTACCTGAGGACAGGACAAGACACAAGGGATGGGTCTGGCCCCAGAATGCAGCAGCACTTAGCGTGTGTGTGTGTGTGTGTGTGTGTGTGTGTGTGTGTGTGTGTGTGACCCTAAATTTTAGTCCCAATTAGCCCACACCAAAAACCTGTTCTCCTCCATCCAACCTTATACTACTACCTGGGGCAAAATTGTCACTGTCACTGTCCTCCCGTTGTTCATTGATTTGCTCGAGCGGGCCCAGGAACGTCTCCATCGTGGGACTTGTTGCTGTGTTTGGCATACTGAATACGTCACGGGTAGCTTGCCAGGCTTCGCCGAGCGGGCGAGATACTCTTGGTAGCTTGTCGGGCTCTCCAAGAGGGGCAGAGGAACAGAACCCGGCTCGGCCAGGCCGGTTGCACACAAGGCAAATGCCCTACTGCTGTGCTATTGCTCGTCATATCACCCTGAACGTGCCCGATCTCATCTGATCTCGGGGCAAAATTATCAGGGACAAAAACAAACCAACTGAGCAGCTAAACAACCAGCTGATGCACAGTCACGGACACCACATCAGCACAGAGGTCTGGTGCGACCCTTTTAGGAAGTGGCATTGGGGTCAGCCAGCCCTGGCCTCAAGCTCTGAATGTGCAGGTGCCTTGTGACTTTGGGTAAGGTCGTCAGCATCTCTGATTCTGTTCCCTCATTTGTCAAATGGCGACAGGACTGTCAGCCCACAGGCCACCATAAGGACGGAGTGGCCCATTCCCAGAATGCCTGCACATGAGCATGCTGCATGCATCACACACACACACACACACACACACACACACACACACACCACGAGGTGATGCAAGCCCTTTTACAAGCCCCAAGGCAGGAGAAAACGGACTACAGAACTCCCAGGCGTCTTCACTGCAGTCACATCTCTGAAGCACGTGACTCAAAGAATTCTGCAACCAGAGAGGAATATTCTGGCTTTCCACCGCTGCCCTCTCCACTGAAAGCTTTCCTCTGTATCACTATCTTATACGAGGCTCTGTCTGCTTCTGCATGCAGGAATGCTGCGGTGAGGGGTAAGGCAGAGGGGCTTCAGGTCTGCATTCAGATTCTCTTATTCATGGTGTTTTTTTTTTTGTAGCCACACCTGGCCGTGCTCAGGGCTTCCTCCTGGCACTGCCCTGAGGAATCACTCCTGGCAGGCTCGAGGAACCATATGGGACGCTGGTAGTAGAACTTGGTTGGCCACGTGCAAAGCAAGCTCCCTGCCCACTGTACTCTCTTTGGCCTGCATGTTCAGACTCTTAAATAGGAGACAGCCGTGCAGATTACGGATACCCTCGTGATTTAGTGACTGGTAGGATGGAGCTTGCAGGCAAGCACAGCCCAGCACTCAGAAGCGGTCAGTGGTCAGTGCCTGGCCTGCAAGACCTGGGGTCCCTGTTTTCCAGGTCTGCGGAGTCAGGGGGTACCTGCTGCCGTGAGCTGTGGGCGCAAGGCCAGACGGTCAGTGCGGGATGGACAAGTCCCCCCCAAGGCATGGTGGGATCCAGGCTCTTTCTCTCTCAGTCTCCAGTTACTTCTCAGGGGTAAGCTTTGGTGTTTGGCCCTTTCAAAATTTTTTTCTGTACTTTTCAAAAATGTTCTGAAGACAACACTATTTACAGGACCGTAATGTTTCCATGTTTTAGGTGTACAGTGTTCCTCGCCATGCCCACCCATCCATCAAAGTCCCATTCTTCTATACTGTTTTGTCCTTTTTCCATTAGAAAAAGTCAGTACATCTAATATAGTATTAGAAATCTTTGGTTATGAGGAAAGGGATTCATTGTCAGTTGTGAGATCCAGACGAGTCAGCCGGGTCTCCTTGGCCCGGAGCTCAGGGTCAGCTGAGGGTAGAAGTAAGACAGTTCTATTGACCCCCCTGCTTGCAGGCTCCACGGCATGGCCTTCCCCGGGCTGCCTGCCATGTCCCCTAGTACGACTGTGAAAGCTGGAATCGCTGCCTTACTGGGAAGAGGACTGGAGGGAGAAACTTAGTTTCCCTTAAAAGACGGCTCTCGGGACTGGAGTGATAGTATAGCAGATAGAGCGTTTGCTTTGCACACGGCCGACCTGGGTTTGATTTCCAGCATCCCATGTGGTCCCTCGAGCACCGCCAGGAGTAATTCCTGATTACAGAGCCAGGAGTAAACCCCTGTGCATCGCTGGGCGTGACCCAAAAATAAATAAATAAATAAATAAATAAAAGACGGCTCTCTGTGTGGGTAAGGGCACCCACCTCTGGGGAGCCCCACAGGTCCAGGACAGCTGGGTTTGCCAGTGAAATTCTTCAGGACAGGGACTTTCACAAGGGTGGCCAATCCCCCCCCCTCCCACTCCATCTCCCCCACAGGGCTAAGCAGCAAGACAGAAGACAGCAGAGGGGACGCAGAAAGAGGAATAGCAGCTCCCTAAGCGGCCTCAGGGCCCTGCAGTGCCCACTCACCTCGGGAGGCCTCCAGCCACTCTTGCTTGACGCTGTATCGGACCTGGGCTTTGGGGTGGCTCTCGGGAAGGTGGCAGGCTATGACAGCCGTGTTCCCCTCGTCTACTTCAATCACGTGCTGCACGTCCAGTTTGAAGTCCTGGAGGTCTGTGGAGAGAGGGAAGGTGCCTGATGGGTGTCCAGAGAGGCAAAGCAGCACCACACGGGGCACTTGAGCCCGGTGTCAGGCAGGATTCTTCAGGGGTGCTCCAAGTCCCTCCTCCAGCCTCCTCTTGGCTCTTGGAGATCACAGCATGGAATATGAGATCCTCCATCACTGCATGGGAGTTCAGTGGGGACAGTACGAGCTGAACAGGGAGGCATGGATGACTTCCTCGGAGGTACCTGTGATGAGGGTACCTGCCCGGCCCAGTCTCCTCTCTTCCAGAGACCCAGGGGCAAGTTGGCCAGGCCCTCAATCTGATGGAACCCAACATGGGTCACGGTTAACATGCAAATGTCCTGACACAGGTCAGCCCCTGGACAGACACTCGAGTGAACAAGGAAAGAGAAGGCTGAGTTCTTTTCCCTAGTACAATCAGAAATTTCCAGTTTCTTTAAAGAATCCACAGAGAAAAGCTATTGATCCTGGATCCCACTCATTTCCAACCAAGGGCTGGAGCGGTAGTGTTACAGGCAGGGGGCTTGCCTTGCACAGGAACAAACTGAGTTCAATCTCTAGCACCCTATATGATATCCCCAGCCTTGCCAAGAGTGAGCACAGAGCCAGGAGTAAGGCCTGAGTACAGCTGGTTATGTTTACCCTCCTCCCCCAAAATCAAACACAAAGCAACCCAGATTACAACTCTAAGGCTGGTTTCTGCTACCCAGGAACTCAGTGCCATACTGTGGCTAATCCTTTCTCAGGTCTGGGGCTGCTCAGGGGGGTTCTAGGGCAAAGAGGAGCCTCTCCTGCCTGCTTACATGGCCGTAGAATGAGGGGGGGCTGAGGGTTCTGACACCTGGCCGCGGTCTCACATGGTGGCTGTCTTTCCTAACGTGGCTCGCCAACACGAGAACCGGGGTCTAAGCTGGGAGAGACAGAGCCATCTGGAACAAGGGCAGGAAGTTTCCCAAACCGTCCAACATTCCAAACAGGAGCCAAATCCCAGGGTTGCATACACCAAACAGGGGCCATTTGTGCAACAGAAACCACATTCAAAAATTGGTTTTCAGGACCGTAGCTGAATTTAATTTAAGGCAGGAAGCAAAATGAATGGAGAATAAGATAAGGGAGATGAAAACATTTACTCAGACACTCTTTACAGTCACTTAGAAAGCCCTGGGGGCAGCCTCTCTGCTGAGCACATCAAATTCTGCTCTGCTCTTGGAAGTGATACCATCAGAGCTACTCCAATTCCTCTGCAAGATTCCACCTGCCTATATTGTTGTTTCCACTGAAGCCCTGAAGAAAGATGCAAGGAAGAAGAGCATCAAGTTTCTCACAGAAGACAAAGAGTAATTACCAAAAACAAACTATTGTCACCAGAGGAGAGCCTGGTGATCAAGACACTTGGTAAGGTCAGGAGGTTTCCTCATGGAAATTTCTAGAATATCTTAGCTGAGCTAGGTCAGACTAGGAAAGCCTTTTTCTTTTATGGCAGGATCACTATTTCTTTGATTACAATAGGAAAAATTGAATCTTTAAGGGGCAGGGACCAAGACTCATTCATCAATGTGTTGCTTACATCTAACGCAGGTCCTGGCCTAAACAGATGCTCAATATATGCTCACTAACTGAATTAGTATCTTGGAAGCTGGGCCCTCAAATTGGGAATCAGAAGCCCTTTATGCTGCCTATAAACTTAAATTTCCTAGTTGAATTTGGTCTGCACTGTGAGCTCAAGGACAAGAGTCTAGCACAATAAATATCTTATGCCCAACCTTATATCTTAGTGTGGCTATTTTGAAATTAGAATGTTGCCTAAGAGATTACTTCTGGAGCCACTGAAACACAGGTGATCTTAGACTTAATAACCAAAGAGTAAGAAATCCATGCTTCTGTGAAAGAAATGATGACCAGAACAGAGACACCCATGGACTGGTTGGAAAGGGATAATAGTCAAAATATATAAAATTCAAAAGCAAAAAAAAAAAAAAAAACCAACAACCAATCCCATTTAAAACTGAATGAAAAATAAAACAGGTACATTTTCAATGAAGACACACACTGGCCATCTGAATATGAAAAGGGCATATAAAAAAGTGCTCTATACTGATTCTCAGGGAAACATTAATTAAAACAATGAGATTACACCTGAAACCAGTGCGGGTGGCATACATCGAAAGTAACAGAAACACCAGTTCTGGAGGGATGAAGGGGAAAAGAAAGTATCATCCAGAGCTGGTGGGAATATATCTGGCTTGGCTTCTGTGGAAAATTTATGGACAATTCTCTTAAAACTAAAAGTTGAGCTGAGACATCGACGATCCAGCAATTCCACTTTTTGGAGCCTACCACATGAGTCGCCAAATGTTAATTTGAAGAGATATTTGCATTCTTACATTCACAGCAGCACTATTTACAACAGCCAAAGTCTGGAAACAACCCAAGTGCCCAAGAACAAATGAGTGAATAAAGAAACGGTGTTATATGCACATGATGCAATTCAACGGGGCTGGAAGAAAAGATGAAATTGTGTAGCTCACTACTATGTAAATGGAGCCAGAGGATAACATGTCAAGTGAGTCCAAAGGAGAGGGACAAATACAGACAAATACAGAATGATCACTCTCACATGTCTAGTTTATTTTATTTTATTTAGGGGCCTGCCTGGCAGTGCTCAAGGGCTACTCCTGGCATTGCTCTTGGGGGAAATCTCCCACTGTGCTCCAGGGATTTCATGCCAAGGATCAAAGCCACGCCATCCTGCATACAAAGCAGTCCAGTGAGCTCTCTCTCCAGCCCTACAGATGCAAACTATAAAGAGAAACAGTAGAGAAATAAGACAAACAAACAAACAAAAAAAAAACACCTGATGATCCCAGACCCTGAAAGTCCACTTACAGAAGTGAGTTTGCTAAGGGGGGGCAGGTGATTTGGGGAAATTGTGGAAGGACAACGACAATGACACTGGTGCCAGGTGTGGTGCTGGAAACTGGCAGCATTACCGTCAACATCACAGTGCCTCATAATTCTTTTAAAGAAAAGAATAAAGAAGTGCACGCTACTTCTGGAGTAGGTTGGTGTGACAAAACTGAGAGACTTCTTCCTGATTCATCTCTGTTGCCCTATTTTACTTTCCAGGTTGGAAAAACTGATGCACAGGTGTTGCCGCGAGCTCTCTCACGGATTGTTACCTTTGGGTGCGTAGGAGGCCTTCTGGCTTTTGTCTCACGATTCGTTTTGTGAGAGCGCAGGCCCTAGTAAAACGGAAAATTGCTGGAGGACAGCCTAAGAATTTTACACTGTGTCCCCTGACCCTAATTCCAAACCCCACACTGCACAGGATTCAGCATAGACCAAATGGTCTCTAAATCTCTGCTTACTTGATGCATAGTTTAGAGGGTGATGCCCACGTCAACTTCACGGGGAAGCATTCGAAGGGGCCAGCACTTGTGACTGGGTTCTGAGGACACCATCCTGAAATTCGTAATAATGTCTGAACAAGGAACTTCACCTTTTCATTTCTCAGTGGCTTTCACAATGTATGTAGCCCCGTTGCGATGGAGCCTCTCGGCCAAGTGAGCACCCACCTTTGCTTTCAGAGAAAATAAGAGTGGGGCTTGTGGAAGAAGGCAGGCTGCATCTGCATGTTGCACAAAAATGTTGCTAACTACTTCTCAAAAGCAATGAATTGAAACCATGTGAAGGCCTCAGTCCTCCCCCTGGCACAGGGCACTGTGTACCTGCCAAGTCAGGACTCTCCCACAAAGGGAGCAGCGAGCTATTGTGAGCTCAGGGACGACTGGAAAAATACCTCAGTCACCAAGAAGCACTCTTCCATGCTCCAATAGAGAGCTGTTGCCTCTCCCCCAGCCCCCGCCCCACCCCTCCGCCTTCTCTTTACCTCATTCCAAGTAAATTCGCCCCAAGCAAGAATATATATACTTAAACCGAGCAGATCATTTGGTAAGAAAGATGTGAGCAACTGAAAGGAGTTTGGCACCAGAACCCCTTCTCCATCTCAATGGCCCGGGGCGCCTGCCCTGCTGTAATTGAGGGCTTATCCAGGCACGGAGCAGGCACCCCTTCCCGCACCCGCCTCACCGACCCAAGACAAGAAAACACTGTGTCCCGTAAGCCCCTCTTGGCTTCCTCTGCACCCTTTGACGACTGCTCAGCAGCAGACAGGAGGCTCTGCAGTGGGGGCGGCAAGACGCGGGGCCTGGGTCAGCCATGTGGCCAGACAGCCGTCCGCGCTGGTGCCAGCATGTGCCAAACAGCCTGTGCAGACAGGACTCAAGACACCCCAGCTGGGTGTCCAGCTACCTCAGGACTGACTGGCAGGCGGGCTTTACTGGCTACAAAACAAGTAGGCAGCCGCCTAAGCCTTGGCCCTGTCCCCTCGCTGTGTCCCTTAAGTCTAAGCCTTAGCTGTTGCTTCGCTGGACAAACGCTCCTGATTTGGTTGCTGGAGCAGAGAAAGTGGATTTTCAAGAGGGGATCAAAGGCAGAGGGATGAAGTGATGAACGATCTGAAAATCAGTGCACCCCTTTTCCTGTTTTTTTTTTGGGGGGGGGAAGGAGGGTGGGGATGGCATGATCAATGATATCCTCATCAGCCACCAGAGAAGAAGACTGCAGAGACGGGAAGCAATTTATTTGCAATCCCAGTTTCCTGGCTGATGAGTGTCTCCCTGGGAATGACTGAGGAGCAGCCCCTGAAACTACAAATGGGGTTAGCAGGCCTCCCCTGCAGGATGAAGGATCGGGTTTCAGGGTTTGACAGGACACCTGCCCTTGCCTGTTGCCCAGTGTGTTTGAGAAAGCCATCAGAGGAATGTTTTTGCAGCCTTAATCCTCTTACCTTCCTTCAGTCCCCTGGGCTGCCTCTCCAGACCCCCACTTTATGTATTCTCTAGGCTAGTGGGTGAATCTGTCTGCACTGATCAGGTGCCCGCAGGGCCACTCCTCCTGTCTCTACAACGCTCAGCAGCCCAGCAGC